AGGAATGCACAGTACTTTTCAGCATAATTATTTTTTTTTACTTTTTACAGCTTTCTTCTTGACCCAATCAATTTTATACATTTTAAAAAAATACATTTTAAGTAAGAAGATTTATTTTCTGAGAAGTGTCAAAAGTAGATGCAAAATTGTTAACTAAAAGCATTTTACATTACATGTTAACGCACTATGGTATTCTATTTAGTGAGTCTCGGGTACAGCCAAGGCTGCTAGTAAAAATGTAAGCATAAAACATAAATCCTTTAATGTAAACGATCTTGTTTTAATAAAAGCTCTCAATGTATTAAATAATCAAAAAACAAACAATCTGACAAGTTTTTTTCAATTAATACAGTGCCTCTTGAAGTAAAAAAACTGGGGGACGCTTGTTTACTGTGCAATGAAAAAAATAATCGGGAACGAGAGAAGTTTTATGTATCCAACCTGAAGCCATTTCACACATATACACACACCCGCGTGCGAGCCCGCGCATATATATATATATACACGTATATATAAAAGTGTGTAAAAGAAGTCAGAGTTAGCAGCTTGTACATTAACATAAACACAAGACAAATGTAATATAAATGGCTATAAATCGCTATTTCTTTTTCCTATTTGAGCAACGATAGTCAAAACTATCAAGTTAAATACATAATATTAAAAGTCTTTATTATTGTCCAAAATTGCATGAAGAATGAAAAAAAGGGCACCTAGCAGTCAGTTGCTCCCATAACGCAGAACCGTCATGATGTATGACCAGAAAGTGCAGTAAAAAAATTACCTGGATATGTTTCATGCTTCTACGTTCGTAAATGCGGCATTGTTAAAAAAATCGATACTTACTATGCATTGAAGAAAATTACGGGGCAAGTGCCGAAAAATCCTGATGCCCAGTCTTAGGGACATCAATTGCCAACTAAACCAGGATCTCATGCGATATAAAAGTAGTATCGTAACTCAGACTACTTTATCCGCAAAAAAATTACAAAAAACTTCAACGTCTAGATCAGCACCCATTGAGCTGCCAATTATAAGTGAGAGAGTGCAAAAATTCAAAGTAATGCTCAAAGGACCATCAACGGTGTATGGTTCTGAGGATTCTTCATTTAAAAAACCGTCACAAATTAAAAGGGTACACCTGTTCAAAGATGATGGAGAAGTGGCCACGGTCATAAAGGTGATGCACCAATTAAAACCGCTGATCATGCGGCTTATGATCAGTAACGAGGATACTTTTAACGTGTGTTAATTGTGAGCACATACTAATTTTTATCTCTTCGAAAATGTCATTGTCATTGTATCCAGTGACTTCATTAAAAAACTTCTTGGCAGTCCACGGTGGATTCGACTCGAGTTGCTTCCAAGCGTTTCCTATGACTTCGTAACGAAACTTTTGTTTTGCTGTTTGTGTTGATGTGATCCTCATCATGTTCTTAGCCCGTTCTAAGTCTCGCCCTTTCCTTGATTTTTATAAATTCTTCTACAATATCGAAAATATTATTATTTCATACATCTTTTACTATTTTTGACGATCTATTCGATGTATGCGTTATGCGTATATACTGTTTATCATAAAAAACTGATTTTAGTAGTTTCACATCAATCTTGCAAAAAAAAATTTTATTTAACTCATGCGTATGCATTTTCGCA